TATTATTATTATTATTAATATTATTATTATTATTATTATTATTATTATTATTATTATGAATATTATTATTATTATTATTATTATTTGCCCAAAAATATGGTTATGAAAAAATCTTGATAAGTATTGGGTTTCATGCAAAAAGTTGTATTATAGTAAACATAAATGAGTGTTTTTTGAGAAATTTGACACCATAATTATTTCATTAGGCTAATAGGGTTACAGAGATAGGCAATTTCATATTTTTCAATTTAAAAAAAAATAAAAATTGAGGTTAAAGGTCACAGATATCAAATCAAATTCTTTGTAACTTGGATTTTGTATTCAGTATTGTAACAACTCATCTATTTTGCATATCAATTTGTTTGGTCCATTTAATTGCAAACGCGCCGCCGTGAAAATCATTCTATCTCTTAACCATTAGCGTTTTCAAACAAACGGCAACTCAAAAACTAGAGGTCGGCTAACTTAGGTTGAAACGGTTTGTAGAAGGTTATAAATATAGCTATTATAAACAATTTACAAAATATTTTTTTTCAAATATTTAGCTCTGACATTTTTGGATTGAATTACGAAAATAGAAGCGATATTAGCGTGTTTTCCGAGGGATTCGTGAGGAGTCGTTTATTTTAATACAAAATCATAACTTTGCCTATACAATCCATTTGCTTAGGTTGAAGCGGCAACAGAAAGGCAGTTTGCTTGCGATTAGTTATGCATTATCCGTCATTTTTGCATTCTTTCAGGGCTTTCAAGAAGAAAAACTGACAGAGCCCACAGCCGACCTGCACTATTTTTCCCCTCATACAGTTGCGGCAAAAATTATAGAGGGTGCTATATTAGGTCAGTTAGGAGAACTGATATGCATGAATATGCATACTTCCCCCTACTCGCCTCGCGAAACAGAGTCAGTGGTGTATCGGGTTTTATGCGTGGATGAACGCTATGGAGTCACTAGGCCAAAATATCTTAAATAAGCCTTGGTAGTCAGGACAGTGTAAAAATTGTAGTACTAGATTATACACATTCTATGTAGGCCTACAGCATGGTCTTCGAAAGTATAAAAAAATGGAGTAGGCTAATATTGAATCTGGCACCGTATTTGAGTAGGCCTAGGAGGCCTACAGTTAGGCTTTTATAAGTATGACGTGTGTGTTGTAGCAATTGTATGCTCCCTAGTTGTACTGAATCTGAAGGACGTTTTAGAAATGCTTGGAAACAAATCTAGTACTTGGGACACAGCTAACTTACAATTTTACAATTAAAAGTTTTTCATTTTGTTATGAGAAAAAAATCCCTGCCTATTATTTAACAGACAGTGAGCGTTTCTGTGTTCTTTTGCGGCATGATTCATTGGTTGGTAACATTTAAGAATTTTTGTAGAACCGTCTGTAAATCAATGAACGCTATTTTTACTTCCATTTGATTTTGATCGTTTTATATATAAAGCTATTCGATATTTAATTGGGTAGACACAGCCTAAACAGTAAGTCATATCATATAGGCCTATAGAATATCTTAAAATTAGTGTTTATAATTATAATACCTGCTTGCTATATAATCTATGCCTTCATTCATATTGAATATGAACGAAATGTTTGTAAGAAGTCAAGATTAAAACAATACATAGAATTGTACCTGTGTGTCCGAGGATTATCCTTTAGAATCAGTAGTATAGCAGTTAATTATATATACTTTACACTACTAAAATAATCGATCAGAAATTCAACGCTGCCTTTTTATACTTTCAATGACCATGTTGTACGTAAACACTGCCTAGGCAGGGATATTGGAATTACAGTAATAGTCAATTACGGTAGTTCACTCTGCATCGACTGTATACACTTTCCTCTCGACCGACTACCAAGAGATTTTGGCCTACCCAAACCATGGAGGAATTAGTTTAGTTTCTAACCTAACTCCTCCATGCACGAACAACGCCATAGCTTTCATACTCCACAAGCAGCGAACACCACACAACTTTCGCGACTCCGAGAAAAAGTGTCAAGCATGCATTATTCATGCATCAGTTCACCTAAATGACCTTAAATAGTGCCCTATATAAGTTCTGCCGAAACTGTATGGGGGAAAATAATGTGGCTGGCCCAGGGATCCGGACGCGTTCCATTTTGTGAACTGATAAAAATATGGTACCTGCATCAAAGACTTGTTAAAATTCAATAAATGAATACGCTTTATACTGGACTTACCTTATTTTACAGTGTTATGAATAGATTGGGAATATATTGTAATATGTGTTTGCAGGACCATATTGTAAAACAGCGGTAAGATCTCGCCTGTATATGTTATCCTGCCTAAAGATGTTTTAAATAAATAAATAAATAATATTGTTAATAGTGTTCACGAGTGTTTGATCATTTCATGAAGTGCATTTTTATATGAAATCGTCCAAACATTGCACAGTGCAACGCAGAATATCTGTTCATTTTTGCATATCTTACACGCGCGCAGAATTAAAATTATTTTGTTACGTGGTTAAAACAGCCAAAACAAATTGATATGTACCCTTAGGTACGGTACTGGTATAGTAAAACAGTGAGTTAAAGACAACATAATTTTAATTTTATAGCTCTTTTTAGGTTTTAGCGCCATCTTATCGGCCATCTTGGAAAAAACACTTTCTGTTTGGACAATGTTGACCAACTTTTTATATGCTCGTTCTATAGACCATGTGCTACAGACACCACCTAAAAAATCTTTTTTTTTTTTTTGCAATTTATTTTTGGGTCATATGTGAGACAGACCTGATACCCCTACTGCTTGTTACTAAAACTAGATTGACCTTTATAAAAAGGGTCATAACTCCTTTTCCCATTGGAAAAAAATTGCTCCAACCTTTTTTTATTGGTGACCCTTAGAACCATTCTAAATATTTTCTTTTCCAAAAATCTTTGCAAAAATTGTTTGCCACTTTAGCCAAAAAATAGGGCTTTTATTATTCAGAGCTTGAGTTCAAGTGAAAAAAAAAATCGAATTACCGTGATCAAAATTTAATCATCTCATTCGTAGAATAGTATATACCATTCCACTAAATTGTATGCTGATTCATTTCTTAGTTTTTGCGTAATCTTTTTGAGACACAAACTGGGGTGAATACAACCTCCTTGGCGGCAGAGGTAATAACTTTGATGAAAATCTTTATTGCTGTATATTTTTACGCTAGTTATATTTTTATGTATTTATTCTAAACACTAAAACCGTCTGGGCCTTGATAAGTGGTTATTTCTTTACTAAATAAGATATAAATTATACTACTCATTGTCAATTACCATTACTTTATTCACTCTGCCGACATTTTGTTTATTTCACACTGTTGTTCGTTGTATAGGCATGTAGCATACTCTAATATGCGCTACCGAAATTGAAGACCATTACCTTATTACCACGGCATTCTGTAGTGCTACGGACATTTTGTTAACTATTTCTCAGTTGTTCACTTGGTGCCTATTATCTTAGGATTTTATCTTGCTTACTTTCCAGTAGTTTTTATCTGATTTGTTCTGTATTTCTCATTCATACGGCTAACGCTAAGGAAGGCATGTCCGCAATATTTGTCTTAATAAACAAGTATTTATAGCAGCCAATGTCAACAAGGTTTTTAGTGAATAAGTGAAAGTGAAGTTAAATTGTGAATACTTATTATTATTTAAATTTTACTAGGATCTTATACTATTGAAGGTAACTTTTATCGAGATAATTCTTATGCGTATCTAATTAATATTATCTGAGTACTCTTTGGCCAATCAGACCATTCCCCTCGACTATAAAACCCAAAATGTTTTTATTATGCATTTAACTGTTACTACATCATCATCAAAATCATCATGCTGATTACTATCATTATCATCATCAGCAGCAGCAGCGGGAACAAGAGTACACTTTCAAATGCAGAGAAGCTTGATTCGTAATTATCAAGACCATTGACAAAATGTAATGCGTATATACACACTGTTCGCCATTATTGAACAATACTCTTGCGTGTTATAGCACACTTTATTAACCTTGTATAGATAATAAACATTGTTCTTATACAAGGTATACTATAGCAAAGGCCTATATAAATCATACATAACAATATAACGTTATAAAATATATAAAAAGCTATATTAGTCACAATTAATAACCTATATTTGTTGAACGGGAATTCAACATCGTTATTTAAAAACAGCTACAATATAATACTCATCTAAAAGTTAAAGGTGGAAAATAATATAATGTGGTGTAATAATTGATAGATTTGATTTTGTTTGTTTTGTACGTACCATAGTAATGTGCTAGCTAGAAGTCCTAGACCTAGCTATCTATTATATAGGTACCCACTTACTGTATACTTCTCTACTACCTAAGCCTACCCGGGCCTAGGTCCAGAACGATCTGAAGGACGACGATGGTGGCGTAGCGCCTACCTAGTTTTAGATATTGTGTACGTGACTGCCAGTGACCGCATTAAAATCAAATAGCTCCAACTCCACCTGTTGTGATTGTGAATGAAATTTAGCTGCCTGATAAGTAGGCCTACTGATTCTTTAGTTTTCAATCAATCAGTCGATGGAATTGATATTGCGCCAGATATCCAAACAAATCTACGAATCTGCTAAGTGGCGCAGTTGTGCCAATATCCAGGAGGTATACTTATTCCTAGCCTATTGGCTAAGCTAGTTTTTGGACTTTTGATGTGTATGTTTGAATAATTAGATAAGTAAGAATATGTAAGATAACATGTCACGTTTACAACAACTAAACTATTTTGTAATTATAATGGTGATTATACTAAATATGTTCCATAAATATTGAAGTAATCAAAATGAGTTATTAAAACAAACGTAAAAATTACTAGCACTACTACGCTATAAATAGCAGCAACACAAAACGAAAAAAGGAATAAAACTACATTTCTCCTTAAAAACAGGAGTAGATGGTACCCTCCTGATCTAATTACTATCAGTGGTTAAAAGTTACTTGAATCATTACAGAAAAACAATCTTACTAAAATTTAGTATAAAACACATATCTCTGTTTTTGCCTATGTTATTATCTGCTGAAGTTGGCGAAAACTTGTAATGTCCTAATCAATTTAAAAAAAACAAAAAAAAAACCTTGTATGTTTTACTTAATATTGCCCATTATGATTGTATATTTTATAAAAATAACAAAACGAATGATAGGTTTCTAAGCTCCACTATAAATAATAAACAAAAATAGGTAAATATTTAATACAACAGCAGCGTGTTGGTTTTAGTGATGGCCTAACTAAATCCAACAATATTTTAAGGTTGAATACCGGTAGTTCAAAAGGTCGCAGAATATTTTCACTAGTTTTCCCACGTGGGTGTCGTCTGACTAAAGTCATCGTCGTATTTACCAGTAGATAAAAAAGTGCATCTAGTCATTATGGACCTGAAATGAGAAAAAATATAAATACATTTGTTTATATATCAAGAATAACTGCTTTGTTTTGTGTATACATGCTCAATGAAAAAAAAAACATTATCTGAAAAATATAGTTCTAGAAAAAAAAATCTGAATATGTGTCACATAATTGTGTTAATTATTTTAGAACCAAAAATAAGTATTTATAACGTTAGTTCTGATAAATAACGTGGTAAACGTTTTATTTGTTTTCTGACTACAACGTTCATAACGTTTGCGATTGTAATCAAGCCTTTTTGCTACAAGTAACGACACTATAAAACACACAAGATAAAACTCTCCAAAGCAAAAAAAAAAATGTATCACCGAAATGTATGGAGGGGAAATGGGTATCGACATAAACCTATGTTTGTGTGTATGTTTGTTTTACTGATAAGTGGTTTCTTTATAAGATAAGATAAGCTTTATTGGTCTAATCACATACATAAACAGAAATGTTTCTTGAATCTGGCATAAACACGTCAACACCACCAAATTACAAAAGCAAAGAAATTGTAATGCAACTACTCATTACATAATTGAAATATTATATATAAAAATATTTTAAATATTAAATATTAATTAAAATTATAATTATTACGAAAATTTCATTTACGACAAATTGAATTGAATATTAATTAAAATTATAATTATTTTACGAAAAATTTTATTTACAATAAATTGAAAGAATTCAATGTCAAAAATATCAATTGCAGTTCAAATATATATCAAAAATATAAAAGTTGCACATGAATACAAGAAAACTCTAACAATTACATACATACATGCATACAAATATACACCAGGTACATAAAAAAAGCTCGTGCAAGTCAAGAATCAATTATAATTATAAGCTACAAAAATAAAAGCACAAGAGTTACAAAAACAACAACACCAAAAGCAATAACATAAAAAACATGAATAAACTTGATTAGCATACAATGGCGGGGTGAGTTTCCAAGTCCAATCATAAACATCCAGGATATTTTTTTTAAATTTCATTGATGATAACTATCGTTTGACATTCAAGTTGTAGGCCTATAAATCAATTCTATTGGGTATGGGGCGAACATCTGAACCAGAATAAAAGTCCAGAATGTGCTAGGACAAGTACTTTGTGTAAAGGGTGAGTACTATCATTAAAAACTGTATTGACAGCGATTCAATGTCGATTAATTGTTCACCAATCAATCTCCCAGCTCTTTTGTTTATTCTGCTAATTCTAAGTTTAACTTTTTGCAGGATATTACCAAAGTAACAGACTTCTTCGAAGTACAGTAATACACTGCGAATTACTGAGTTTTAGAATAAATTAAAAATAATTCTATGTGCAAGTATTTCATTTTTTTAGTATGAAAATTCTTTGATTAGCCTTGCAAAAAACTTAGACATTTGATTTCCACTTAAGCTTAATATCTATTATACAACCAAGTATTTATATTCTTCAACCATATTTATTGCATTTCCATTAATTGTAATAGGAGCCAATGGTTCTGCCTTTTTCCTGAAATCTATGACCATTTATTTTTGTTTTGTTTACATACAGTTTCAAGTTATTTTTACTAAACCAATCAGCAAATTCATGCCCCACTCTTGTATATTTAGTTTCATCACCATCATTTATGTAACCAGAGATGACTGTATCATCTGCAAACTTTATCACTGTACATTCCTTTGCATTAACTTGAAAACTACTAGTGAAAAGTGAAAATAACATAGGTGAGATTACTGAACCTTGGGGTGTACCAATACTAGTCATTTTCTGGTCAGACAGATACCATTTAGCTTCACATGCTGTGGTCTGCATATAAGGAAATTATATACCCATGATATTATTATATTATTTACATTCATTTCTTTCAGTTTATGTACAAGTAATCGAGGCTATGTGCATATGTTAAATGCACTTGAGAAATAAGTATATAGACACCTTACATATCGTCGCTCACATCACGAACTAACACAATCAAAGTAGATTGTGTTAGTTCGTGAAATCACAGTAGCGCGTCAAAACGAGCGCGTACTGGTTGTCAAGCAATTTTGTATTCTTTACCACACAAAAAGTCCTTAACGACAGCAGCGCGTATTTTGACGCGCTTTTTTTGATTTCACGAACTAACACAATTGAATTTAATTGTGTTAGTTCGTGATGTGAGCGACGATATGTTCGCGGAGCATCTAAGTGCTGATAGATATTGTGCAAGTGGAAGAGAACGGCATCTTCTGACAGCACTTCTTTTACTTTGATAGGATGTTATTGCAATTGGTATGTAATTATTAAGCTCTTTTGGGGTTTTAGACTTTGGGAGTGGGGAAATAATAGATGTCTTCCATAACTTGGGCACAATGCCAACGCGATTTAATGACATCTAAATACTACACAATGCGCGTAGCCACTCAACAAACATTGGTCCCCACCTTCCAATATAAGATGATTGGTGTACCTCAGCTGGAAACACCCACTGATTAAAAGGAAGATCCACAGGCTAACTACACTATGCAAAACTAGAAATGGTCACCTGAATATAGATCATAAAAGAGAAACGTTAAGTCCACCTACAGGAGGACACAGTAAACAATGTTAAGCACTATGCTAAAAAGAGGGATTATCAAACTCCTTCTTTATTAAAAATCCAATAGAATGAAACAAACTGCTCCAAACCACAATAGATCAGCCAAACGTTGCAAACTTTACAGCAGCACTACATGAAGACCTAAGTATAGTCTGCAGTAGAGTATACCCCAATACTACGAGCCTGCGGTCTGCATCTTGTCTCGGAAATTAATTGTTGTATTTTGGCCACACTGGTGCCACTTCAGAAACCTTGCAAACTGCAATTATGGCAGTTCTTTACATAAGCTAAATTACATTAAATCTCACAACGTGATTTATTACATTTTATTTTATGTTATCTTATATTTATTTATTTTATTTTATTTTATTGAACGTAGATCCGGGATTAAAGTAGTTTATGATAATGATTCTTAATGATTAGTAATATTCAGAAACAAAGTTTTATTATAGATTTTACTAAATCAATGTATAGTCTCACCTGACCTATTTAAAATAATTGTAGTCTGAAGGTGAAATTACCTTTCCATCAATTATTAAAGATTATAATTCATAATAAATGTTAATATTTTGCAATCCAGTTACGCAGAAACGCACTGTTGCTGTATACAGTTATGCCTATCCTTTCTGAGTATTTAAGTCGATCTATTTAACTAATGCTCTATCAATGCTTTTCAATCGCATAACAGTACACATATAGTAGTTTACATCACCTCCTGTTTTACCGGTACTCTTTTGGAGTTCTAAGTAGGTCGGCTTTACCCGCCAGGACCAGATACCTTCTCCCATGAAACAGACAACTGACTTGAAGCTATCAACCATCCAAAAGTTGGTTTCATTCAGTTTGTCTTCACTTCTTGATTATTGTGATGCACGTACTTCTCTATGGCTTGCCACGGAAATTTCATCATTACCGCCTGCTTGTCCAGAACACATATGTAAGAATTGTAAAATTCACGAAAAAGCGGAAACACACCACTCATGTTCTCAGAAAACTGTATTAGCTTATTCAATGATCACATATTCTTTTGTAAGATACACTCATGACTTAATATGGCACTCAATGATCTTGTCCAAATACATTTTAGATCTACTTCAACCTAAATCTTCACGTGAGATCATCCAACAAGCACCTTTTTTAAGCAGAAGAACATTGGAAAACCTACAAGTATATTATTGATATTAACTGAAATATAAATCCGGATGTATTACTATGCTTTGGTACACCACTAAAAAAACAACCAAGTTAAACCAGACATAAAAAAACACTAACATTCATTGTCAAAAAATTGCACAATTGATGCCATGAAGAGAATGCTTATCTGCGACAGAATTTTCAATTTTATAAAAAAAAAAAAATCGCCGAATAGGCCTAGTTTGGCTACTAAAAACGTTTAGAGCGAAATCTATGTTGGTGCACAGAATTATCCATCCATCCATTATTGACTTTTGAATTTAACCAAAGTTTGTTTTTATAGAGAACATCTTAGCTAAGTCGGCTAAACTAGCGGTAGCCACTGTGCGTGCGCTGAACCATGGATATCTCTAGGTGTCTGGTTCAATTCCCATCGCTGCTCTCCTTGTGTTTCAGCTGGAGGGCTGAAATGCAAGTTACGATAGCGCACTGTCTTTCGGATTAGACCTTTAAGCTGTTGGTCCCATATATGCATTATGACCCGTGTGCATGTTAACGACCACTAGCACTCATTAATTACACAGCTTCCAGATTACAAACAAAAATCATTAACTCTTTGCTTTTATCTGGCAACGACTTGTAACTGTTTTATCTGGCTACGAATGTAACTGTAAAAAGCTAAATCAATTTCATCTGGTTTCAATTAGGCCTATATGAATGTAATTATTTTAAGAAAACCAATAAATATAATACTTTGGTGGTCTAAACGTAACAGCAGTGCGTATTTCTTGGTCTACATAAAATACTTATTTTGCATTAAAATATATCAAAGTGATTTTATTGTCATCCCCAACCCTTCAGAAATTCCTAGAAATTCAAAATACGAAATAATGATAAAATACATTTTAGAATATGCTACAATAGACTGAAAGGAAATTTTGCCTCAACGTGATTGAAAATACATACCGATACCACATCCAGGATTGGCTCTGTCTGAAATGACAAATTATACCACGTAAACTAAGCTTTGTAAACTAAAGAAATGTGTAATCTAATTTAAATCTTTTATAAGGTGTTTTAGTCACTATTAAATTAGTATTCCGATCTAATAGTCATAAGCATAATTCTGTATACAGTATATTGCATAAATTGAATGTAATTGTGGATTTCAAGAATATAAGATCGTGAATAATCACTACCATTCCAATAAGTTATTATTATTATTTAATCATATATAATCTTTATTTCATTGTGCCCAGAATAATGATATTATATTTAATTTTATATAAAATATATTGGAAACTTCAACCTGTCAATATATAAACATTTAAATTTATTTTCTGTAGATATAGGCCTAAGATTATAAATTAAATAAATGTAAGGAATATCTTGTACAGCCCAAACACTCTCTTTCGTATACTTACAATTCCGACAGCGATTTCCAACATAGCATTCAGTACAATCGCATCGAAATCTACACATGCCACCGAAAGTAGTTACTCGGCATGTTCCTCCGTTTTCACACGGTGAACTGTCGCAAGGATCAGTATCTGGATTGAATGATATTTGATAAAATAGTTATTCCTACTTTGAAAGGAATCGTTAAATATTCTATAGGTATTTCTGAAGGACGACGAATCACTATAATACTGTAGAACTCTTTTTGCGGCCCTAAAATTCCCAGATTTCGCTATAATGTTTTCAAAAACAAAAAAATACAGTGCGCTGATTATCAATCGAAGCAGGTCAAGAATCTTAGTTGTGATTGGCATTATAATTAACAAAAATATTCTTTAACAATACAATGAACCAGGGAGTTGTGCTAACTAAATGAACATATTTTTGTCCGTATAGTTTCTATGTAGTATACCGACTCAGGCGACATTGCATGCTTTGGTCGCTGCCAGCAAGGCCGGCCACACCTGACAGAAAACAGTATTATTTTTAGGTTTTGAAATGTGTAACTGTACATTTACCTATATTACTAAGACCTAAGATAGTTTACCAATATTTATCAGCTCTTAATTCAGTACTTAAGAACTCTTAAGTACTACTCAGTATTTAAGAACTCTGTTTATTTTCTTTTTGAAGTAATATTTTGTATGAGTATCAGTTGTTTTTCAATTTTTCAATTATTAATAAGATTAATATTTATTTCGAATTTTAGTTTTGGACTTAGCAACAGAAAATGATAATGAACAAGCATAATAATCAATATGTAAAAAAAAGTAACAGTAAAATGGCTTTTTTTCACTGTTAAAAGTAATTTTTTGAAGTTTGAGAGAAATGTTACTTCTTTGTGATTGTTTAAAAAATGTTTAAATTTTCAATTGTCGATGTATATGTAATTTTTCCGTGAAATGTGGAATGAAGTAAAAAAAAAAATAAAACAAATTAACAGGAAAACATGCTTACTAGATACTAGATACAAAGTAAACGAACAAACAACAAAATCAACTAGCCCCTATTTGTTTAATTAATATTGGGTGATATTAGGATGCATTGGTCATGATTATAAGTGATTTTACCACTTACTAATTTCGCACTGACTGCCTGAAAAGCATGTTGCACATTCGCAACTGAATTCACAGGGATTGCTTGTGGTAGAGGATATGCACGTTCCGTCATTGGCACATGGGTCCGTTGAACAAGGTAGCACCACTAAAATATAATTATTACATAGAATATAATTAATACAATTGTTTATTAATTATCATTTTCCTGCTTTCAATTAATGAACTCATGACAATTCATTTTGAAAAGTAGGATACAATGATTGATGAAATAATTCGGTAGAAGCCAACAGACGACCGATAGTTCCATTTTACTGATTGAGGCAGCGTAACATTAACCCTAGTCGTCTAAATGGTGTCATACCGTACTTGTAACTGGTACCGTATTAATTAACAAGCAACGGTAATCGCTTGTCCACCTAGAGAATGAAAAGAGTTGAAAATGGAAAGTTATCTTTGTGAAGTTATCCAATGTATCCAACGAGAAGGCCAATTCCCCCGATGGGAACATAATTGGGAAGGGCCAGAGGCAGCCCGGAAAAACTCAGAGGCGGTAAGTTCTGATTCAATAGAAAACAAGATATCTTTCTATTCCTATTTAATGTCATCTTAAATGAGCTCCTTATTTTGTGACATCGGGAAATAAAATAATACCTTTTATAAAGAAAAATACTAATTACCGGTAGTTACTTCCATTAAGGTCTACTAACATTTTCAGTGGATTTCTTTCAAATAAAAAAAATGATTTTATCACCTTAAAATTTATCTGCTTTGAGTTTGTGAAATAAGTAAAAAATACAGTTTCCTTCTTGAAGAAAGCAAAGAAAATAAAATAAAATAAGATGAATAATTAGAAGTTACTAATATTAATTAACCATTTATAAGGACGGAAAAGAAATGTCATTTAATGTGTTTTGTACGCGTGTCAACATTAAAATGTATTTCCGTCTAGAAGAAAGAAATAAAAGAGAAATATTGACAGGTAAGATGGAGAATTCGAACAGTTTAAAAGGGCAGAAGAACTGATAAAATGGGTATGTTTAACGAAAGTCTATATAAAACAGTAGGCCTACTTAAAAAATTTCAAATAAGAATGTTAAGAACAGATAAGCAGAAATGTTTAAAATAATGGGTCATAGTCATAGTCTAAATATTTACACTTCGCTGAAAGTCCCAAAATTAAAATGACCTCATTCTAACATTTTAAAGATATCTCTGAGACGAGTAGTGAAAAACGAGGGGTCCACAATAACATACTCAAATTACATAGTGTTAAACCTTTACCAATTGTGTTTGAAAACTGTATTAAAAACAAAATTTTAAAAAGTTAACCGATCCATTCATCATTAGGTTATACATTTCATTATAATCTTTTTTTTTAATTGAAATATTGTTGAGTTGACCCTATATTTTATTAATGTTATTTTCCTCACAGCCTTGGTAGTTGATTAAAAATGTTTGGTCACGCATATAAAAATTATTTATGTATATTAATTAATTATTTGTTAAATTCCATACAATTAATGTCTGATAATGTATTTTTCTTTATTTCTGTAATTCTGTATTTATTAAAATGCTTACCACATTGTCAAACGTGTGAACGCTTTTGTTTGTAGGTAAATTTCAATCAATTCCTGAGATATCAAAATTAAACATGTCCATTGCATCACACTCACAAACCTGTCTATCGTTGGTCCACGGTAACCTTGGAATTTTTGTGTCTGTCTTGCTGGCATTAAAGCTACGTTTCACATCAAGCCCGGATTCCGGTCAGGAGTCCGCAACGGATTCCGAGCCCGGTTACGATTTCCGGTCGTTGCGTTCACATCGCGTCCGGGGAACAACAAAATCAGGGTCAATGCGGAAGAAACCAAGTTGAACGACGTCAACACTTGAAACAATGACAACCGTAAATAAAATATTTTACTTGAAAAGTCCTTAAATTGATTACCAGCTAATTTAATAAGGATCTATGTAAAAAATACAGGGAGGTTTTATTATATAACTGTCAAAAAACGTAATTTTATTTAATTCAATTTTTTTTTAAATTTCAAGTTAACGACTTACTTATCACACAAATGTACAATTTAATTTCAATTTTCTACATTATGAGTGATAGACTGATAGAACAATAAACACATTCCTCACTTAAGGCAAGTTCTTCATGTTTAAAACTACATTACTAATTATGTTTACGACTTAGACTTGTAGGCTATATAATATGTGCCTCCGTGTACAGTAGTCACAAAACGAATTCAGAAACTGGAGCTTATCAGCCCATTTGTATTTTCAGACTTTACCAGGAAGCCCCTGTCAACTTCTAGATTGGTGAATATTCCGAAGATAAATTTGGCCTGAAAAAAAAAAAGCAAACAGGCCTAATCAAATATGTCCATTCACTATGTAATACTGTAACAAATTAAAAGTTACATAATTCTATCATGAGTAAATTTCCAGCACGAATAAAAACGAAACGGTACTGGGTTTGGTCTATAGGAGCTCGAATCGTGCTCTACCTTCAGATCATTCCATTCTTAGAAGAAGCCTTATTAATGGAGAAAGTCGTACCTGTCGTTAGCTATAGTTAGTATCCTAGGTCTATACATAACTCCGGCTATATAAGGTCGATTATCAGGTTGGAAAATGTTAATCGTATTATAGTAGTGACACCAAAAATTAAATTAATGTTGTTTAAATATAGCCTATCAATATAATAAAATAATATAACTGTATATTATACAGTTGTTTTATGTTCAGATTTAAGTATGAAATATTACGTCCAAAACATTCCAAAACAAAGGCCTACTTATCTTTTAGTAAACGTAGTTTAATGTTTGTTGCAAGTTACATCTAAAATACAGTACAGCATAAAAAGCAGAAACAAAGTGCAAAACATCTTCTCGCACTGGTTTTTCGAGCTGTTCTGCTCTGAGGTTAGTCAGGTTTATCGCTGATTGGTCAGAAATCAAAATCCGACCGGTTTCACGTTTCCAGTGACTTTCTCGTCCATTGCTCCGAATCCGGACCAGTGGTCCGTCTGGGTAAACAATCTGACAGTGTAAATGTGAACGCTTCTATTCTTTACCACTGAAGCCATTTCTCGCGATATTTTCTCCAGACTCCTGACCGGAATCCCGGATTGATGTGAATGTAGCTTAAACCGGCGCTCACTGCGTCTGAAGGTTGTCGGCCGACTAGATTCTATAAAGATCGCAACGCCACGACGCGCACGCTACGTAGTTTTTAATGAAGATCCGTTCAGAATGTTACCAAAGATTTTAGAACTGCAAGAGGTCCCACTTTCGTGGTTTCATTGGAACGCAATCCAACATCAAAAAGTACTGCCACTCCCTTTAAAACACGTTTATTGTCGAAAAATGTGTGCCACGTGCAAGTTTCGAACTCTATTCGAATTCTAATAGGGTGTAAAATAATAGAGAATATATATGTAATATTAACAAACATAAAACAAACTCGATTGTGCCATTAACATAGTAATTGGTCTTATAGTAATTGTACATTATGAAAACACTTAATTGTTCACGGTTTTCAGTCATGGCCAATGCCCGTCATGAATCTTGTGTCTTCGACTCCTCAGTAGCATAAATTGAATGAAATGAATAGTTCGGAATTACACGCTTAACTAGGAATATTCTCCAATGGGAGCGAGGGAGGTTGAGCCCTGGGTTGAACGTTGTGATTAATTCTGTATCCAATGACCCAGGAAAAAAGCGTCTTGCGCTTTATTTTATTTTATATACAGCACACACTCACACATTATTTTTTTTACGTTCAAAATTAATTAATTGATGATTACAGCATTATCCCAAGATGGTATAAGATTTATCTATTTGTACTACAGTATGATACGAACATTTTTTTCAGTATAACGTTATACAGAATAGGCATTACTTACGGGTATCGCATGTAGGACCTGTATAGCAAAGTAGACAATCACATGTATAGCCACATGGATCGGCGGCAGATGGATTTTCAGTACACGTTCCGCCATTCTCACATGGATTCGATGAACATGGTGACGCTAAAATGAACAATAATTGTAAAAAAAAAGTAAATATTTGTAAGGTACCAACCCCTTATGCTATTGTCACATACCGTCACCAAAATGTACATTTTTTATAGATTGTCATGTACACAACCAATGTAGCTGTATTTTGTACGTGCAAAAGTAATGCAGGCGATACTGTCAAATAGCTGGCAATACAAGACAATTAAAAAAAACATAATCCACCAAATCTACCGACGCCTGGAAAGAAACCATGGTAGTTTTTTTTTTCGAGACGAAAAGAATATCGCCGGCCTTACAATTATTCCATCAGTTCTTGCTTACAGCCTCAGATTACTGTAAATCCAACCACTTATAAGCCAGTCAACGACGTAGTCGGAATTTTCAAACAGCGTGGGACAGTATCAGGGTGGTCGACCCACTTGACGCATTAATTCAAATAATGTGGACCCATTATCTTAAATGTTGATCCATTTCATGCAAAAGTATGAATAAACTAGACTCATTTTTTAAAAGTTGACCCATTTTACGCAAAATATTGGAAATCTGAACCCATTTTTCAAAAAGTTAACTCATTTTGTGCATAAAACAGCATAATTTAGACCTATTATTATAATGTGGACCCATTTTTTTGGACCCAATAAAAAAGTTGTGCGGGACTGTCCCAATAGCTGGCTACGGCATTGGATACAGTAGCCTAGGCAGGGCTGGCCTCGCCATACACTGGTCTAACCGGAGGACAGATAATCTGTCCCATGGATAATCTTAACCATCAAAATATAAATGTTACTAAATTAATGTATACGGTATATAAATACATAAATATACAAATATATATTCAAATACAAAAATAATTATCTTCTTTGCTTTTGTGAAATAAAAAATAATTAAGTTACAACATTTAGTCCCAACCTAAAATATAGTTTAAGTCTAGAAGAAAGAAAATATATTGAACACAATTAAGATGAAGAATTAAAGCTAGGACTTACAGTTTAAAATTTAGATTTAAGAAGGGAAAAAATTAAGTGTTAAGTGTGTTTTGTAGGCCAAAGATAAAATAGATTTTCCGTAAAAAATAAAATGAAAGAGAAATATTAAACACGTAAGACAAAGAATTAGAAATAATAGTTTAAAATTAAATAAATGATAGGAAATGTTTAGGAACGTTCATAAAAATCAGTACCTAAATATTATGAAAATAAAAATAAGAATATAAAAACAGATAATAATTAGTAAAAAATAATGAAATACGGTAATACGTAGGAATGCTTTAAATATGTATACATCGTAGAATGTTCCAGCATTAAGGTTACCTAATTTGAAAGATTTTCACGATTTCTCAGAGAACAGTCTTGAACAGCCAACCTCGAATAGCGTGCCAATACTATACATTATTCAAATTAAATTTCTATAAACAAAATTTTGAAAGCTTCCGTTTGAAAATGTTTGTACACAATATAAAAATTAAAATGAAGTCAACAAATTCTTTCATATTATGGTATATATTTTATTAAAATCACTCATTTCTTTCATAGACATATTGAGAGCTGACCGCATTTGTTATGATATTTTCTTCACAGCCTAAGTAGTTGATTTGAAAATTGTTGGTCTTAATATAAAAAGATTTGAATTTTGTTTGTTTCTTGACCACAAAAAGAGTAAAAAGAACTCTTGAATCACCACAATGCATTCAAGTGGTTATGATGTTCGCCATCTATGCGAAAGGTTCAGGGTTCGAGTTCCGGTGAAGGCACGTTTTTTGTTTTGTTTTTTTTTTCTTTGTCAGATTCCTCTTCTGTTACATTTATCTTATACACATCTAGATGTGTATAAGAGACAGCAATTATTTATATATATATAAATGCGGTTAATATAACGACGCTAACAATCTCTTCATTATGCCAATCAAATGCCACATACATACTATAGCCTGCAATAGCTAGTAAAAATGTATCAGAGTAAAATTATTAGACGTTTAATCCATAATGTAAAATACATACACTTTTTTTTCAGTATAATTTTTGCAATGTGAGTTATACAGTATTACTTACGGATATCGCATGTAGGACCTGTATAGCAAAGTGGACAATCACACGTGTAGTCGCATAGATCGTCGACAGATGGATTCTCTATACACGTTCCGCCATTATCACACGGATTCGGAGAACATGGTGACGCTAAAATAAAAAATAATTGATAAAATGTTAAATTTAAAATGTACAACCCTATCATACTACTTTTACTAGTTTATACCTACCAGACTATCAATTGTCATGTACACATTGATCATGTACCTAATAATAAAGGTGATACTACCAGCTTGCTGTCAATGTAAAGACAATTTAAAGAAAAAAAAAAGGCTCCCAGCGAGAGCGTGTGTCTACCTTATACTTTATTATGTTTTTCAGACGTTAATGTAAAACCAAAGAACTCTCAGTCTCGGGTTTATGTCTTTGAAACGCAATCCTATTTATTGTATCTCAAAATGACTACAACGATCGAGAGGACTTCCTTCAAAAGACAGTGAAACGCGTGCTGCGTCTCTATGACGTATGTTCGTTTTTCGAACTCAATTTTGTTCGAGTTGCTCCGAACTCTATTCGATTTCTAATAGGGCGCCCTATGGTAGTGTACCCCTCATGCACCTCCACCGGATTTAGGCTCTACTCGCTCTTACTAGGTTCAGCTATAATACTGGTCCAGCCGGATGATATACAATCGGTCCCATGGATGATCTGAACCTGTTTTGATGGGTCGGATGTTAAGTTTGATAGAAATAAATAAAAATCTTTCTTTATTCTGAATACTCAGTCAGTATCGTTACACAGTTCTTCCCTGAGGTCCAGGGTATGATAAACAGTCCGGTAAGGTCTATTAATCGACACATGTGACATTACACTACACAATATACCGTACATAACAGATATTGGAGTAAACTATGAAAAAGGAATGCAGACTACATTTCTTAAACCTGCATTTGTTCAAAGTATGTATAGCCTAAGAAAATTATATACCATAGTTGTCCCATTTACCGTATAATATAATTCCTAACTGTGACACTATGCGTTATTACAGTTTAAATCACTTATGAACATTACACGCAGTGGGTACGATGAGCATCATATATAACTTAATGAATAGAATAACTACAACATCAAAATGGATTGCGAGAACATTGTCACGCTAAAATAATAACAGTATGTTTATGACAAATAACTACATGCAAGAAACATCAGTGCAAGATACAATGTGTATCTAATGTAAAAACACATAGGCATAATATGGAATTATAAATAATAAATAAAAGAATTTACACAAATTAATACTTACCTAAATCGCATAGATCGCCGAAGAAACACGATGAACAAAAACAGTCGAAGTCACATGGATTGTTAGAAGGTAGACAAAATCCGTTGACACATGGATTTGGGGAACATGGTGATGCTGCAATGAAGAATATGCCTAACTGATAAATTATAATCTATAATGTAAAAACATAGTTTTATTATAGATACTTCATAATTATATTGTTAGTGTATTGCGCCAATAAAGGCACAGTTATAATAAATTAAGTACTAAACTTAATGATTTTCAAAATTACAAAGATAAGACAACGTGATCATGAAACTATTAAAGCAATAGTGTTATATACAGATACATTCATAAACCTGCCCCTCCCTCTCAAATGAAATTAGGCACAGAAAGTAGAGGATAACCCTTTATGTGAAGAGACTTGTTTCAGAAAGGGTCCCTAAAAAACTATTCACTCTAACTTTATATCGTGTTTTTTTTTACAAACACGCAGCCTCACAAGGCACTTGAGGAGAAGTATTTAATAACTATTTTCAAAACCGTCTTCTTCTAAATAACACTACATACTACCACTTTATTTCCACACGCATTCAATTAGTACTTTCAAAGGTCTAGAAAACGATCTTTTCATACTTCTTTCTACGAAGCCAGGGTTACTAGCCCTATGCTTAGACGTTACCAAACAGAATATTTTTAAACTTTTACTAGTAAAAATAAAAGATAAGAATTTTTCTGGAAAACTTATATATTTATATATTTATTTTTTTTTATTTATATTTTTCATATAAAGACATTCTAGAAATCACGTATGGTCAGGATTCGATGTCGAATAACGAAATGTGTTGGCTTGACAACTTGATCTCTAATGAATGGTGTCCAAAATTTACTACAAACTCGTAAAATCTAATAATGAGCCATTATCATTATGATATAATTCTCGGTACAATTCTAAATCGCTCTGGATCTCTTTGTTTTTCTTCCTTCTTCCTGTCTTTGTAGACTTTAATAAACTGTATTAAAGAATTGATGGGCAGCAATTGAATCAGCACTATCCGCCATGACCACATCGATTCTTTGGTGAACATGGTGACGCTAAGTACACAATAGTCGATAGTTGTTGATATAATGTTTAATTTATTGATATTAAGTTGTGATAATAAAATATCACTTACGGGTACTGCAAGTGAGGCCTGTGTAGCATGATGAGCAAGCACATGTGTAGTCACATGGACCGGCAGATGGATTAGCACTACACGTTCCACCATTTTCACATGGATTCGGTAAACATGGTAATGCTAAAATAAAAAAATATATATATATATATTTGTTAATCAATTTCCACACGTGTGACATTACACTACCTAATACCTGTACTATAATAGATATCAGAGTAAACTAAATCAATGAATGTTTGATATTGTGTCAAAAGGGGTAATTTTCAAAAATTGTTTGGTTTTTCAATCAATTCCGGGCGCTAGACTCTGCATTTCTCATATTAGGCCTCCAGCCCAAATATAAATTATAGGGTTTTGTAACATAAACTAAATTACGCTACATTTTAACTTTAAAACCAAAAAAGTAACATGTACACATTCCTGTCGTCGAAAACAAATTTATATAAAAAAAACTGTGATAAACTGCATACCAATGTGATTTATTAAATAAATAAATATATTATTTTCATATAAGGGAAAACACAATAATAATTATGGTGGCAGTGGTGGCGTATGTATATGTGTATAATATACACGTTGATAAAGGTCGTAGGTGCGACCGAAATATTGGTCTGAAATAAAAGATAGATGTTTCGTCATACGTCAAATTGGTTTTTCATATATCAATTTTTATATAGCGCCTTTCTTTGCAGATACGAAGCGCTTCTGTCCC